CCAATGGCTTACTGGACTTGACTACCTGAGGGGATCAATATATAGCCAGCGGGTGCTGGGCGAGCGCCGTGCTCCCCGTTCTATATCTAACCGGACCACACGTAATTACTTCCTGCCAGGGAACGAGAGAATCGTCCTACGGCCGGTGACACGCGTCAGAATACAGCTGGTTGATATGCGTGGTGCTAGCATTATTTCTGAATTTATTTCAGGATTTTCGACAATGCGTTTTTGGTGGGAGGAGACGTTCCCGTCAACGGCGAGACGCCTACAGTAACTTCGTAAATCTAAAGATGATATATCAGTTCAGTCTTTCGGAGGTGCTCATACGTGTAGGGTGTGCGTGTGTACATTCATAAGGGTGAGTGTATGCATGTGTATATAAGCGCTTGTGTCTGTACCACAGTTTTGATTTTCGGCCGGAAAAAATCAATTTCGGCCTAATTTCGGCCATCTCGGCTGGGCCCGGAATATGTCCCTTTCGCTTCAAAAATTTCAGCCTGTTTTGAAAGTTATGGCCCAGCCCAACATCTAGAAGGCCTCCACTATGGTCCGGCTAAGAAACCATCAAACTGAACGCCCGAACCCTAAACTTCTCGTTTCCTCTGTCTTTCCCTGTGCGGCGCCGCCGCTGCCCGCCTGCTGCTGCCTACCCACGCCCGTCGGGAGCTCCTCCAGTGAAGAGTCCGCATTCCTCCGCTGCATCAACCCGCCTCGTTGACTGGTACCTCCCGCCCGCTTGCTTGCGTCTGAGCGCGTGGACGCACAGCCTCCATCAGGGCCACCTCACGCCTCCTCCATCACCACCTAGTTTATTCTCTGTTGCTTCTTCAAGGCCACGGCATGGTGCATGATGTCTGCGGCAGTGAGGATTGTTTTTATATGTTGAACTGATGCATAGGTAGCATCAGGGCACTTCCTTCTTCGTTTGCTTCTCCAATGTTTATTCTTGGACTGATTCAGTTTTTAATCCCTTGAGCTCGATCTGCTATACCTTTCCTCTGCTGATTGCAAAATTTCAGCCGAATTTCGGCAAGATTTCGGTCAAATTTCATTCAAAAATTCAAATTTTGTTTATACAATTTCGTCCGAGATTTTGCCAAAATTTTTGAATTGACCGAAATTCGGCTGTTTCGTTCAGGGGCGAAAAAAACCCAATCCGAAAATCAAAACGCAGGACTGTATTGATGTTCAAAAAAAATATAGTTGGTATGCGTGAGCTTGGCCTCTCCTGGTTTTGGGTTTACCTCCTATCTATATTGGACGTTCACCACCAATTTGAAAAAGGTTGGGATTTTTTATTTCTTCTTCGCAAGAAATCCAAGGTCATACAAACTAAAATTGTCCAGCTCTTACAAGACCAACTTTACAAAATTAGAAAACAAAACACATATTCGTGAGTGTATCACCGCCGTCTTCCTCTTGCATTACTAGTAGAAAAGGGGGCTTTGGTCCAGGCCGGGTAACCCCATTAGTCCCGGTTCAGTCCAGAACCGGGACCAATGGGGGCATTGATCCCGGTTCGTGAGCCCAGGGGGCCGGCCGGGCCACATGGGCCATTGGTCCCGGTTCATCTAGACCTTTTGGTCCCGGTTGGTGGGATGAACCGGGACCAATGGGCCTCGCTCCTGGCCCACAACCATTGGTCCCGGTTCGTGCCACAAACCGGGACTAAAGATTAGACCTTTAGTCCCGGTTTGAGGCACGAACCGGGACTAATAGGGATGAGACCTTTAGTCCCGGTTCGTGCCACGAACCGGTATTAAAGGTGCCATTTTCAAACTATACCCCCCCCCTTCCCGGGGATCGCCTTTTCAGTTTTAAAAAAAATAAAAGAAAATGATGGAAATATCAAAAAAATAAAAGAAAATAAGTTTCACATGTGATATGTGGTCTAGTTGTTGGGAAAATTTGCAAATGTGAATTTTGACTTTATTTGCAAAATCTCTCTGAAATTTGTAAAAATGGGCATAACTTTTGCATACTAACTCGGATGAAAAAGTTTTTTATATGAAAAATCATCTACTCGAAAAGTTACATCCGAATTTAACTGGGGGAACCCCGTTAAACATTTTCAAAATCCTCAAAAACCTAATAGAAAAAAGTTACGAGGCTTTTAAGATCTAGAGTGAAAAAATTCAAAAAAATTCAAACAATGGTCAAACTAATTATTCTAGAATATTAGTGTTACTAAATAATTATTTCAGTTATTTCAATTTTGGTCAAATCTGGTCAAATCTGGTCAAACTGTGGTCAAACAATGGTTAAACTAATTATTCAAGAAATATTAGTGTTACTAAATAATTATTGTTTTTTAAAACAATAGTTTCAAAATAAAACTATGAAATGTGTCACTTCATGCTCAAGCAAAATTCCTGAAGGTTAATAGGATTGACATCTTAGTATTGTCAGGAAAACAACAAGTGCAGACTTGGAGCGAGGGAGAATAGAACCCGGAAGTTAAGCGTGCTCAGGCTGGGGGAGTGGGAGGATGGGTGACCGTTCGGGAAGTTAGATGATTTGGAATGATGAGGGGTGATTAGAGGATAAATTGAGAAGTGATGAGGGGTGGTGATTACAGACTAGAGGTTAAAATAATTCAGAAATTTGAAAATCAAAGAAAAATTCAAAAAAAAAATTCAAAATTTTTTTTCAAAAAAAAATCATAAAATTTCCTTTAGTCCCGGTTGGTGTTACCAACCGGGACTAAAGGTGGAGCTCCACGTGGCCGCGCCCTTTAGTCCCGGTTCTGGATTGAACCGGGACTAAAGGGAGAGGCATTAGTACCGACATTTTAGTCCCGGTTTTAGAACCGGGACTAAAGGCTCTTATGAACCGGGACTAAAGGCCCTTTTTCTACTAGTGCATTGATCAGCGATGCGCCGCGAGCAAAGATTGATCCGTCTCACGGTCTCTGCAACACCCTTGAAGCCAAGCTGACATTGTTGAGACAAACAATCATCTTGACCATAGCAAAGAAATTGATCCAAATCTAAGACAAGGATGAGTACGGCAAAATTGGTAGCTTCGTGGCATCAAAAGGAGAAGGAACAAATCCAAGATTTGGGTAAAAATTGCGTCAAGTCAAAATACACTCACTCTCCTCCACGTGGGACACATTCCACAACCCTAAGATCGCCCTCCATGTCACCAAGAAGCTGTCTACGAGGGAGCAGACAAGGAAGAAGAAGTAGGAGAACGACAATGCCGCCTCTAGCGCGACTCTAGGATCGGCGCTAATGGCACCATCTCCACCACGCCATCACAACATCGTTGTCATCGCCTCTGCCATTTCATTCATGGGCACGAATGCCTCCATGGCACCTTTCATGTTCAATTTTGTAATCCACTCGTATAGTAGTGTCATGCCTCCCTAAATGCAATAAAAATTTGGAAGAAAATTGGAGTCATTTTCTGGTAAATAAAGTTCAGCCACCTCATATATATCAGAGATGTGATGGCCGATTGAGCACCCAATCAATCAATCTATCACTTTTACATTTATCTTTTTATCTCTCCTTTGTTTTATTCTTCTCCGTTCTTCTTTGTCCTTCATGTTTGGTGGCAGTGATCCACAAGACCCTACGGGTGTTCATGTCGACCTAGGGCATCCCATAGCAAGTGCTCCCTCATGGGGTCCCTCCCAGGTATATGGGGTTTCGGGTCCTCAAAAGATCTCGTTGACATATCTTGTGTATCCGGCGAGACTCCTCAGGCGACGTTGGCTTGCTTATCATGCTCGACGACGGCGTACACATTGACATGTTTGTGTGCAACTAGAAAGTCAATTAGCTTAGTAGCAAGTAAGCTTAGCTTTAATTTGTCAATAATAAAGTTGTGGACTGCACATCTGTTCTGTCCAGCCAGGTAGGATGAGAAGGTGCCCAAGCCCAAGGTGTAAATTGTTAGAGTCCATATTTGGACTGGAGCAAGGGAAATATTCTTATTTTGATTACGAGAAATTTGATCGGTATATTTACTAACGAGGATGGAACATTTACTCCAATTTGGTGCTTTGCCGAGAAGTGTCACAAGAAATATAATTATATGCGCAAAAATGGAGGCCTCATTATTATCTGCCCTACCGCAAACAATCGAGTAATTCACAAACATCAAAAAATGTATGGGGGCGGGCAGAGGGCAAGTTGGATACCTTCCAAATGATTAGAATTAAAGGCTTCTTGTAGACAAAGTGACAGGTCATTGACTACAAGAGTGAAAAGATAAGGCGACAATGAACAACCTTGTCGGATACCTTCGAGTGCCCCGAAAGTAGTGAAAAGGTTGGGCATTGATGTTAACGGCAAATGAGACATATGTCATGCATTTGAAAATTAAGATTATGAAATGACAATGCAACCCTTTCGAGTCCAAGTCACCCGGCCACACCTCCACCAACACATCAACGTATTTCCATGTCATTGCCAATGGTCTCCGTAGGCGTTGCACCATTGCAGTGCTTTGGGATGGACCTAGGTTGCTCCATGACAAGGTTGAGATCCAAACTCATGTCGACGACTTCTACAAAGATTAGTTCTAAAGACAACCTAGGGGAGGGGTGGGGTTGCACCCAGACACATGGACTGGCACCTGGTCCGATGGTTTGCATGTACAGTTCCTTTTGGAATTTTGGAGTGCCTTCAAAGGGGTGGTGATGGACATTTCCAGGATTTCTATGTCGGTGTGCTTGACGCCTCAC